TACCCCAGGTTGAATACCACTGGGGTAAATCACCATACATTCTTAACCTCGGTATTATATTGTGGTCAGAGGCCAGCTTCATCTCCGAAGAAACATCCCCTAGTGCCTACCGTAGAAGGGGTTGGGTGCGCCCCACAGTCCTCGGGTACGCAGTAGCGAGGAGTACGTAATTACCGACGATAATTCTAAACAGGTTCAATATATATTAAACCCGAAGACAAATAGGACTGAAAAGAAAACAACGCGAGACAAAACTAATGTCTTGGTAAGAGACAGTTTAATTTTGTTTCTTGAAGTCCCGCAGCAAAGTTGCGCTCTTAATTTCCCCAAGTGTTGGGGACACATTTTTCGCGAAGCCAACGGACCGGACCCCAAAGTGCAGCCTCCGTATATCTTTCAGAGCTCCGTTTCTGATACTGCGCGTAAGAGTGTCACGAGTACTAAGCTTACCAATCCACGCATTCATATTCAAATATCACCAAAGTACATACTGCATGATGATCGGTGCATTAAACACAGGCCTACAAGTGCAGACACAGAATCCCACTCAAGCCTCTGTTATGTAACGTTTCTAGTATTTTTCTCCGTTCTGCTGTGAACAGGCCCCAGGCCTTACGATGAACCGATCCTCAATCTAGGTCCTAACACGTGTATGAAGAATTTAAAAACCCTCTAAAAACCAAGGCTAGAATCGGGCTGTTATTCCTACATGAATTAATCATATAATTAGTTACGTCGAGACCGGCTCTGGGCCCCACCCAGCCTCCTATCCAATGGGTACCGGGGTCCTTTCCCGGGGTTAAACCGCGATCAGGGCGTGATACTGACTACTCACCCCCCATCTAGCGCCGAGGTCAAGAATGAGTAGAAGCTATACCGCCTCTCCCCCCAAGCGCCTACATGGCGTGTAGCGGGGTGGCTTTACTTTTATTAATTAATATGTTTATTGACTAATAGATTCTCACGAAGAATAGCGATAGGTGAGTTAAGTAGCTAATTACGAATAGAACCGTGGTTCAATATCTGGTAGGATGTACTCAGTCATCAGTTTGGTGTCAGAGCGTTGTTTTCCTGGGAGCAAAGGTGGTCGAATTCTTACCTTTGAGTTTTACGTAATATAATGAAGTTGTACCAACTGCATGGACTATGTAATTTCTTTAAAAAAAACTGCTCACGTAAGATTCTAAGGCAAGCAAAGTGTAAGATGGTTAATACGTAAACCAACATTCGAGAAATATCTTGGCAAAATCCGCTTTAGGGTAAGTGGCGATATTTTAAATGAAGTCTGCCCCCGCGTTGAATGAGGGCTGTGCCACTCATACCTGCAGCGCGGAAATCACATTAACAGCCTCCGGTAATGGGGAATGTTTCGAGACTTATAAGGACTTTAAAAATAAGTTAAATCGCCAGCATATCACGGAGAACACAAAGCGCGCGCACACAGAGACAAACCGAAAGCAATCAGCAGCTCAGTTCCAGCAGAAGCATTTTACGGCCATAAACACAACGCCATGGAGGCTTATGAAAGCGTGGAGGTACAGAGTCGTAAGAATTCTAGACCCAGAGGTTAGCTTCAGGCTTCGGACATATCACACCCCCTGGGGTAAATACCCGTGTTATCTGTTAGGAGAGGTTGGGTAGGAAAAGTGAGAAATGCATACCAAATATTGGTCGAGAAACACGAACTGTTTCGCGGAACTTGTACAAAGATGACGCATTAATATCAAAATAGGCATAAGGGGAAACAGGGAGTGAAGCAGTAAACTAAAAGTTAATCACTACACGAGGAACATTCTAACTTAATTTCGTAGAGCATAGTTTTTTTTATCAGAATCCGATAGCCTCTAAACTCTTAAAGAAATTTCTCGCTTTTATAGACCCCCGGAAGTTCAGTTTCGCGTTCACGACAGCCCATCCTGATCCTTGCTGTCATCTAGTAGCATCCAGTCTACACCCTTACACTCTGTTTCATCAAGATCCATTTCGATACTGTCCTAAGACTAGGTCGTCTCCCCCAAGTCGTGTTTTCCCTTCAGGTTTTCAGCCTAAATTAACGTACGCATTTCTCCAGTAAATTAATCAAAATTAAAAAAAAACATCCACTTTCCACAAAATCAGGACATTTAACCACCTGATAATCGTCAACCCTTCGTGGAAGTCCATGCACCATGACTTTTATATATAAAGTGGTGTGGAAACTTCCATTACTTGTGGTCACGTGCCGCCCAGCGGGCCTTTTATATATAAAGTGGTGTGGAAACTTCCACTACTTGTGGTCACGTGCCGACCAGCGGGCCTTTATGTAACCCCCCACCCCACCCCAAGATTTCTCAGATTAAGTATATGATGAAAGTTCACAATCCAGTACAAAGCAAACATGAATATTGCAGGCAAAATCGTCTTCACCTTCCTGGAGAGCAATGATCAACATCTCCGTAAGTGTGTGGCTTTCCCAGGTTTGGTGTTGCCGGCAGTCGTCGTCTCTGTTACTTACCGACTTAATTTTTGTAGAAATACTCCTTCATCTCGAAAGCGGCCCTTCTTTGATGTGATTCAGAACACGAGGCGATATTTCCGTACACAGTACACACTCCACAGTGACTTGCAGTAGACTCTAATCGAAAGGTTTGGTGCAAAAAGGGGGTAGATCCTAACAAACATCGCGATACATTTCATCAGTAGATTTAGCGAACAATGTCTTCCAAAATTAATGTTGGCCCACTCATTTAAACCAAGCGTAAACTCAATTTTATCACATAATTTGTATATAATCATCAGTTTTTAGCTGTTTCCCAGAGAGATTTTTTAAAAAAAAATGCTACCTACATCTATTTTGCACCAAAGCACTCGGTTGTCGACATAAAACCACCGGCCATCAGTACATTACAAAGGCTTTGATTTTCCCGCATATCATGGTTTGTTCGGAGGTCCTTTTATATCCAATTTTATTCTCTTTCTCGATAGCGCTCTCTCGATTATGTCCATCAATCTACACCTGACGTCTTCAATCACATATTCGTTTCCTCTCTTCTGTGATGTAAGTTGTCCAGTGATTGGGAACACTGCTGCTTCACAATTTACGGATTAGACTTACGTTGCATGAAGCCCGTATTGAGGGTAGGAATAATGCCTGCCATTCATCAAGGCAGGCAGTTCTATGAAAGACATGCCGCCTGTAATCAAACCGGCCACAAGATCACACTGATTTCAGCAACACTCTCACCAGCTAATTGAAACAACAAGTTCTGGGAAGAACCGATTGTGCTGGCCTACACACGTATCACATACAGCGAGAGCAGAATTTCACGTTACGGAATAAAGGCGAAATATCGGCCTAATTAAAATCAAAATCTTCAATTAAATTATACTTCGAAGATTCCTGTCTTCTGAGTTGTTGCTATAATTTTTTTTCGTCAAATAACCCCCACACTACACAGATATTGTCACACTACTTTTATTGTTTAGAAAAGTGTGGGACCTCTAAATACATGATCACATCTCATCTTACCCCTCTGGGTCTTCATACCATCAGTATTATTCCTTTACCTGTCGTTTCTGTTAATATTAAGCCTATTTGCCATTCACAACCTTCTTCAGGAAGTGAAAGCTGTAAGATGACCTTTCACTTTCATTTAGAATCCAGGTGAATCGAAATTGTGATAACTGATAGGGTCTACAGCTCACATCGGGGGCTGTGACAGGTGAATCCCACGTGGCCGGCCTCACCTCCGCGGTGAGAAATGGCCGTCGAATCGAAGTCTCAGCCAACGCAATACCACTATCAGTAACGTTGATATTATGATAATGTCACAGAACTGAAGGTGGAGTATAAGTGCGCGAAATGCAACTTTTTATCTGCGTTTAACGTCCGTTCCCACAACTCAAACGGAAACCGAGGCCCAGACTTTCGCTGTGTACACACAGAGATGTCGCTCGCAATCACAATACGATAACAAACCTCATTCAAGCGGCGCGAATCGATTATAGGCACCTCCTGCAATTCCGTTACAATCGACGGAAATACATCGTAAGTTCGCTTTGATTTTCCCACGCCATGTTGGACGTCCAGTGAACCGGACAGGCCTACTTGCAGTTTTTTTTTTCCCCCCCGCAAACGCAGATCTCACTGCTTTTACGTGAAGTTCCCTTGTTCCTCAGCACCACGCGACGACAATAAAAGGAACACAGAAATAAATGGAATATAGAATGAAAGAAACAAAAGAATTCAGGGGTAAAAAAACGCCATAATCCCTCCAGAAATATAACGCTGTCGTGCTGCGTAAGACTGCAATAACATAAAGCGTCTGCCGCTAGATGGCTCTGCCAACAACAGTTGTTAGTGCCTAATTCTGCCGGTAGGTGGCTCTACCAACAACATAAAACTTTATGTTGCGTAACAGCATGGTAGGTTTGTGGGCACATTAACTGTGAACATGGCAGAGAGATACAAAATAGCTGTAGTGCCTAAAAGTAAATTCTGAGTCTCAAGAGTTACAACATGCACCAAATATTAAACTCGTAACGTCTACAATATTTTCGACGTGCTCGGATATTTAGAGAAGCGCGTATGGATCTAACCACGACCTTCTGCAGCCTAACGTTTATCTGCCTTTATTATTCGACCCCCTAGCAGTCCGGTGCTTAAAATACGACGTTATGCGTCTTTACAAGTGTTCTGTTTAAACCATTCTAAATCACAAAACGCAGACTGTACAATAAACGCAGATATTCCATGCAAATAGTGTGCATACACCAACTTCATAAAAGTTTGTAGTTCTTAACCAGTTCCCAGTCAATAAATTTCCAACTTTTACGTAATCCTAAAATCCATCGGTGTTCACGGAATGTTCCGGGGACAGTTTTACTTTTACGAGTACTTGAAACTTGCCAGATATAGTTCCTAACTTTAAACTAAAAATCATATAAAAGGCGTAGATATGTTTCTGATCTGTCGACACAAATTCTGCATAATATACTTCAATGGTTAATTTCTTGTCGATATAAAACGGGAAGCTAATGGTACGAATACATTCACCATATCGCAGTATCGCGCGGGAGCCATATTGTTTGACGTTCTAAAACAAGAAGACTTTGACAAAAGTCACACAACATTCAGAGGTATAAAATACAAAATGTTAAGAAGCCCGCCTCAGAATTTCACACGATCGCCATGCTGGTACTATAGAAAGAATATTGTTATTTCTAAAATGTGAACGTCATGCATGGCTAGTTCCACATAAACATAAAAATAATAAAAAATCCTTTTAAAGTATTTAAATCTCGCGAAAAATTCATTGTAATTTATAATTCATAAAATAAAACGAATGAAAATCTTTAAATCTCGTGAAAATTTCACGTCACTGTAGCTACTTCATGAAATTAATATAATTTAATATAAAATCCCTGTTCGTTTCCGAATTAGCCCATTTCACTTTAAAACAAATTGCAAAAACTGCAGTACGTAACGATATAATTTTTTTGAAAATGCATCACCCCAGTCATAACACATTGCACAGTTTGTAAGAGACACGCCATCTATCAGCATTTTTTCGTACTGTGGTATCTTAAAAGCAACCTTCCCGCCATCTGTTAGGTAAATTATTTACTAGAACAAAGCCACAGCATAGAATTAAGAGTCGCGGTAATAAACATATGGCACCACCTATCAGCTAATGACTGTACTTTGATATCGGACCCAAGAAATGGGAAAACTCAACAAACCTCACAACAAAAGTACGGCAGACATCGTTTACTTCACTCTGCTTAAAGGCACACATAAATAATATATTTTTGTCTGTGGTCACTTTCAAACGTGGAACCTATATATTAAAATGATAATGAACAATGGGTCACAAGAAAAACGAAGGAAATATAGTATTTAGACATTGGGATTTCAACTCGTAGACACGATCTTTGCACTGACGTCAGTCTTCTATCAATCTAACTGATCAATGAGGGAACATACGCAATCATCCAAAGTACAGCTTTTACCTCTGTTTTGCTTAAGGAGGTCATTAAAATTAATTGACACTTTTCTTCAAATTAGGTCTTTGTTTAACAGATGTCTGGCGTGAATCATCTTAGTTAATGGAACAAACAGAAAAGCCACACAGGGACAAACACAAGGAGATTACAAATGACCAGAATTACATAATTTCAGATTTGGGACTTCAAAAATTTTAAGCACTTCATTTTTGTTTACAGAGTGTTCAATTACCCCTTCTTGCTTAATGGAGTATTACACAGAAATGGACTGTAAAAATTATTATCATTACGTCACTGTTTGGCGCTCGCATAACTTTAATGATGACAAAAAATAAATCACTTTATGCAGCTCTTATTTGAGGGCCATATAACAATTTTCCCCCACTTATTGGTACCTGCACTTTGTCGTGGTGGCGGGGCTTGAGTACCTCAGTAGCCCCAAGAGCTACTGGTAGGGCCTCCCTAGCCAGATTGGTCGAGGGGGAGAGGTCAGACTAAGACAGGTACCCTGGTCCTCCAGGTTGGGGGTTGGTCGCAAGGCTAACAACCTTGCACCGTAAAAAGGAAGATGTTTGGAAACATTGATCAAAGCCTCGGACAGACGGACCTAACAGAGGACCGAATGGAAGAGGAGAATTGAGGAGGCCGTGGACCGAATACGGACCGGAGAGCCATAGAAGAAGAAGAAGATAACAATTTCCATAATATGTCATGAGCCCAACATATTTTACCATCTTCATCCACTTGTTTCTCTGCTATAAAACTTCTGGTTTTTATTCAATGTCTCTCAGACATGCATAGCCTTCAAGATGAGAGTCAGATCTTTCACTTGGTGTGCGTATTGACGGAGTAAATTATCCCAGACAAATGTCTTGATTTTAAATACCATCGACTTGTGAAGTGGACGTATTACCAACTGAAACTCCAACTACAACAGATTGGAGGCTGGGATTAAATCTCCCGTGCAGAAGAGCAATCCGCCTGGATCTCTTAAAATGTTTAGAAACTTCTGAGCTGTACTCACCAGGAGATGCAGCATCATGAAGACCTGGACTCCTGAACCGTTTGACAGACCTCCGATTAGGTGCGCCAGCCCTCGCGTCACGCTCGTTTTCTTTTCCCTCCCCTGGTTTCTTGATTTGGATTACAGGACTACATTCTGTAATATAAAATTTTAATCTTTATTTACATTTTAAATTATTTATGCCCAAGGCTGACGCAGCACAAAGCTGTAAAAAAACAGTTAACAATAATACATGTAAAAGATATTTAAATGAAAAACTCATTCTTTATATCCTACCAGTGAAAGAGAATGTAGTTCAGACGACTCAAATGTAAATACAACATGAAAAACCTCCACAATTGATATGAGGTAGTAATGAGAACAAACACGATGTAGGTCCGTATCTAAGTAAAATTTGTAAGGTTCCAATTAAAAATTTTATGTTGAATCGGCAAGCAACAAACATTAAATTAAGACAGAAAAATTAGATTGTTCACGTCATAACTGTAAATTACATTTATTGACTGATTAGATTTTGGGTTAGGTCAATGAAGTGGTTTCAAGTGCTAGGATGAGAAGATGATCATGCACGGTATGTAAACATTTGGAAAAAAAATTGGTGTATCAACTGAGAAAAATAACAGAAAATGACAGAGTAGGTTAAGGATCTGGAAAGAGATGGTCAATGCCGATCAACTTATGCAACTACAGAAAATCTGTCGTGACAACTTTTAGCCCAGCCAAAATTTAAACTGGGCACATCCCAAGTCTAAGAAGTAGTATCATTATTTGTAAGAAATTAAAAGGAATTTGTTAAAACAATAAGTTCTTATAGTATTCTCAAATAATCAACATAAAGTTTTTGTTCGATCTTGAAAAGAAAACCAATTAAATTCTTTGAAATATTAAATCAAGTGTACGGAGAAGAGGTTACGCCAAGAGCGTATGTTTCTGAATACTGTACATGGTTTTCTGAAGGAATAAGCAAAACTGAGTTTTACAGCTGACCTGTACATCCAGCAACAACAAAATCAGAAAAGGTGACAACTTTGACGTGAATGATCAATGACCTACTATCAGAATGATTACAGAGGAAATAAATAACAAAAGAGAGACCATATGATTGATTTTGATGGAAAATCCGGCCACGGAAATAGTTTGTGCGAAGACGGTCCCCAAGAATCTCACTAGCGACCAAATGCAGCGGAAGAGGGATTTTTGCGCTAATCTCAGAGCCATGAGATACAACACACGAAAGATCTAATCAACCTGCCAGGATGTGGCCAAGACTGGTGACCACCTCAGGTACGCCCAAAGTAAGCGAGCCAGCCATCTCCGTACCAGCCAAGTTAGGAATAAATCAGGGGCTGTTAGGTGAGGGGGGCATAGGGCATGAATAGACTTCTTAAGTATAACTAAAAACATGTACTATTGCAGGCCTGCCCAACATTTTTTGTTGTGCGGGCAACTTCGGCAAAATTTGATCTGTATGCAGGCAACGTGAAATTCAATACATAAACTGTGGAAGGTATACATACATGCTTCGTCTGCATATTTTTCTATACATTATATACAAAAAAAATATACTGATGACGTGAAAAAAATGTATTTCAGAAGAGAAGCATTACTTCACGATACAAGAGCGTACAGAATAAGTAAATTATTTCAGACTCACCGCGTCTATCTGGTGTTGATTCTTTTCCAGTCAAAACCAAATATGTTTCATTTGTTTGTTTCTGAGCTGGCAACGGTGACAAGTCTTCCTGCTTATTTCTTCCATTCGGAATATTCTCTGATTTGAGCATTCTTTCAATAGTCTACACAAAATAAAGAGAAACAACTGAAATTAGACTATATCAGTATACCTTTAAAGCTTGAGTCTTGGTTTATTTAATGACACAGATTGCACCCATATCTATAATCACCAGCATGTACCACCTCAAATTAACTAAGTCACTAGAGTAAATGGCTATGAGTTGGATCAGTGGTCCCCAACGCGGTGCCCGCGGGCACCATGGCACCCGCCAAGGTTTTTTTCGGTGCCCGCGTTGATACGGAAAGACGTTATACTGAATAATGAAGGCCGTTCAACCATGAACATTATAAAATCAAAGCACAAATCAAGACTTACTGACGCCCATCTTGACGATTGTTTGCGAGCAGCAACATCATCCTACACTCCCAACTTTGAAAAACTGGCCGATGAAATTCAGTGCCAAACATCGCACTAACTTCCCACTTGAGTAATAATAATTGTACTTATAAAAATACGTATTTTTGATTCCGTGGTTTCTTGTATCATTAAACGTCGTGTTGTTTTGCGTATTATTTGGTGTCCATATCTTATTTGTCCAGAGAAAAGAAAATTTGGCTTTGTTAATTGGTTGGTGCCTGCCACGATCTCATAAACTCTCAAATGTGCCCGTAGGCACAAAAAGGTTGGGGACCACTGAATTGGACAGTCACAGTTGAATTCCTGGCAAAGAGAAGAACTTTTCTCCTTGCCACGACATTCAGACTGGCTCCGCAGCCCGCTGCAACCTCCTATCCAATAACTAGGGCTTTATCTCAGGAGTAAAATGACTGGCATAGGGTGCCAAGACAAAAACTATGTAATTTTACCTAAATAACCCCTTCATGGCATAATGTTTAGACAGAAGGACAATTTTACCTAACCTTCACCGACTCACAATAAATGCATCCAACATGAACTTACAAGCCTCGATATGAAGGGATGATGAGATGAAGTAACGAGCCTCACAGGTAATCCACGTTTCTTCCTGGTCATTAACAGCAGGTATGTCGCAGTATCATAATCATATTTCCAAGAACTAAGTCGTAGCCACAGTTCACTTGAAGACATTCCATAATATTGTGACATCACATTCAGACATTCCTCATCCCTCACATGTAACTGAAAGAAAAAAAATTGGGTTTAAAAAGAACTGGTACAAACCAAAACAAATTTGCCTGACAACTTTTAATGATGCCCAATACCAAATTTTGTCAAAATTCACAAAGTATTTTTTTTATAAATTAAGCATGTAGTTAGAAACACAGATGTCACCTCTCAATTATGAATTAATTCAATGCACATCAGCAAAAAACATACAAAATGCTACAATCACAAATATTCGACTCACATCGTATACACTGTCTTTATTGACTGGTCCATCATACCCAAGCGTCACCCACGGATGACAAACAAGTTTATCAACAGTAATACGCTTTTTGGGATCAACCTGCAACATTGACTTTATCAGTCTCTTGCTGCCAACAGATAGCCACTCTGGTTCATCATATCTTCCACTCTGAAACATCGTCATATAAACTTACAACTAACTCTCTAGAAGACAATTTTATTTCTATCACAGAACTTTTAATAGGGTTTATTTAATGACACTTTCTCTACTGGACAGATTATATAGCATCAAACTAGACAAAGATTGAAAAATGAGGAAGGGTGCATTTGTAACACATGGTGTCCATATCTTATTTGTCCAGAGAAAAGAAAATTTGGCTTTGTTAATTGGTTGGTGCCTGCCACGATCTCATAAACTCTCAAATGTGCCCGTAGGCACAAAAAGGTTGGGGACCACTGAATTGGACAGTCACAGTTGAATTCCTGGCAAAGAGAAGAACTTTTCTCCTTGCCACGACATTCAGACTGGCTCCGCAGCCCGCTGCAACCTCCTATCCAATAACTAGGGCTTTATCTCAGGAGTAAAATGACTGGCATAGGGTGCCAAGACAAAAACTATGTAATTTTACCTAAATAACCCCTTCATGGCATAATGTTTAGACAGAAGGACAATTTTACCTAACCTTCACCGACTCACAATAAATGCATCCAACATGAACTTACAAGCCTCGATATGAAGGGATGATGAGATGAAGTAACGAGCCTCACAGGTAATCCACGTTTCTTCCTGGTCATTAACAGCAGGTATGTCGCAGTATCATAATCATATTTCCAAGAACTAAGTCGTAGCCACAGTTCACTTGAAGACATTCCATAATATTGTGACATCACATTCAGACATTCCTCATCCCTCACATGTAACTGAAAGAAAAAAAATTGGGTTTAAAAAGAACTGGTACAAACCAAAACAAATTTGCCTGACAACTTTTAATGATGCCCAATACCAAATTTTGTCAAAATTCACAAAGTATTTTTTTTATAAATTAAGCATGTAGTTAGAAACACAGATGTCACCTCTCAATTATGAATTAATTCAATGCACATCAGCAAAAAACATACAAAATGCTACAATCACAAATATTCGACTCACATCGTATACACTGTCTTTATTGACTGGTCCATCATACCCAAGCGTCACCCACGGATGACAAACAAGTTTATCAACAGTAATACGCTTTTTGGGATCAACCTGCAACATTGACTTTATCAGTCTCTTGCTGCCAACAGATAGCCACTCTGGTTCATCATATCTTCCACTCTGAAACATCGTCATATAAACTTACAACTAACTCTCTAGAAGACAATTTTATTTCTATCACAGAACTTTTAATAGGGTTTATTTAATGACACTTTCTCTACTGGACAGATTATATAGCATCAAACTAGACAAAGATTGAAAAATGAGGAAGGGTGCATTTGTAACACATATTAAAAATTAAATTAAATCTGTGGCGTAACAGCTCCAGAGAGCAAATCCGACTAGCTGGCTGCTGGCCTCACGTTCACATGCCTAAGCAGAGGTGAACGATCATCCAACCAGATATAGGGTGACATGTGGTCAGCACGACGAACCCCCAGCCATTGCTAGCTTTCCTGACCGGATTACGCTACTTATTGTAGCTCCCCAATTTCCTCACAATGCTGGGTTGGCACCGGTCCCATACACTGGTCGAAAGCTCATGGACCGAACACGGACCGGAAAGCCATAGAAGAAAATATAGCAAGTATCAGTGCCAATAAAGAACATGTATAAATAATTGACATTACTTATTTTTAGAGTTCTATTCTTCAAATGTTTACAATAACTATAACTTGTAAACATTTAACATGATCATGAGAGACCATATTGAAACAAGGGTGACTCGATATCCAGATGTCTTATTCTCATGAATTGCATCAGATAATAATTTTAAACAGTTATCAGAAGCACTGAAGAGATTAATAACTGTGGAACATTCAGGAAATACAGCATTTCTGCAGCAAATGCGTGGCAATGGGGAAAAGACGAAGAATGATTAATGGATGCATATCATACCAGAAAATCATTCTGTGGACCTAACATGAGCCACACTAGTTGAATAAAAACAGCATCAATTTAGAGGAAGAAACAAACATCTAAAATAAAAGGATGATGATAAGAATGAATTAAAATTTCTAAAAGGCTCTAAAGGCAAGAAATTTATATGACTAAACCACATGTTGTACAGAAATATGTTTTAATTTTCCACTCTCTTTAATGATTGATTCTTGGTTAATTTAAGGATGCTGTTTAAACTACCCCTCCAAACCTGGCAACCAGTCATTGGGCCAATCACCCACACTTGGTTTTTAATATGATTCAGAGAAACAAAGATTGTTCGGCCGGACAGCTTCCATGGAGAATGACATAGGCGAGGAAAGGATATACGATTCGGAATCTGAAATATCAAGACTCTAGTAGGGAGAGAGGTATAAACAGTTCAGGAAATGTTAAAAACGCAGATGAAATTCTTAGCAAGGGATAGGAAGGAATGGAGGAGGTGGACCGAGCAATCAACCCCGACGCTATAAAGGCAAAAAGGGAGATCAGAAAGAAGAAGAAGAAGTTTAAACTGCATAGGTTATACATCAAATGAAATAGGGAGATGATCATGAGTGGAGAGTACATGTGGAGTTCAAAAGAGGTAGTCATTTTTAGACTGAGGAAACAAAAAAACACCTAAGTCAGAATAGCTGGTGTCGGGTACCTCCGGAACACAAGCCCATGCCCTTACACAAGATGTTCACTAAATATTCACAGCCAGTTAGATAAAACTCACAATGATTTTTCGATAGAGAGTGTCTATATTATTGTCATCAAATGGCAAGCAGCCGCACAGCAAAGCATAGAGCAAGACCCCCATACTCCATATGTCAACTTCAGAACCTGAAAAGATCAAGCAAGATTTGTTTGACACCTTCTCACAAAAGCAAAGAATAATTCAAGAAACTAGACAACATATTTAAGTTTATATAAAGATAAAGGTACACAGTTTGAAAACAAAGTTTTGAGGGGAATATTTAAACTTTAGAAAGCCATATTGCTTGAAGTTACCTTTGTATAACATCATTAGAATGATGAAGGACTGAGAATATGTATGGATGAGAAGAGGATAAGATGTACGGAAAGTTTGTGACTCGTAAGATGGGACGTGGTTGGCCCAGGACAGGGTCCGGTGGAGGGCTTTGGTTAATTCGGTGATGAACCTTCCATAGTTAGTTAAGATGGGTCGTGGCCTTGCTGCTATGTGTAAACAGTGTTAGCTGCTGTCTTCTCTAGTTGGTCAGCTGTGACAGTAGTGAGATTGCAGGAACATTACAGATTAAAATTTGCTTACTCATGTTATGGGATAAGTTAAAAATGTTCAATGTTCCCCATTAGCTAATACATTTTCTGCATCTTCTAAGCATATTCTCGCTCACACACCACATTATTCTCCGGATATATATGAGACACTTCAAGATGAATGATTTGTCAGTTCTTCCATGTGTGAAATGGTTCAATAGAATTATAATTGTCAAATATTGGCACTGACTGAAGATACCAATTACAGAAATTAAGTCTGGTGGCTAGATCACATGTCTGAAAAAATTTCACAACTGTGGTTTTGTAAGGGTGTAGTTCCAATTATTCTGTATTAATTTTCATGGTCTCTTTCAAAGCTCCCATCCCTTGTGCAAGGAGTTGAAAACATTAAGAAGGTGAATATTCAATCCATGTTCCAATTTTGTCCAACTTTTCTTGTTAACACTTGACACTGCTTGGAGCTCTCTCTAGTAAAATAGCAGCTGTTTTTATTTTATTAACAAGATTCTTAATGGTGTTCCTATGTGGAACTCAAACCCTAGGAAACTTTCTTCTGAATTTCCTCAGTTACTTCCTAATAAACTTATATTTCACATAAGATTCATATAAAAACACATGATGCTCTGGTGTTAACTCATCCATGTCCAACACTAAGAAAATTTTGCACAACACTAATTGAATAGTCACAGTTACTCTAATAACAGCTGCTACTCAACATTATAAACTCACTCACCATCACAGCTGACGGAGCTGGAAAAGTTGCAACCAATGTAGTGACTGTACATAACAGAAAGGCAGTAACCAAGAACAGCAACTTAAAAATCTCTCAGTATCTTGGTGTTAAATGTTTGGGTTCCACTACAAGAGGGTTAATTACTTAGGTCAAAAAATGTTTACTTGGACGTACCTAGGTAACGTTTTCCTACAACCAGTTCAGGAGCTGCATATGTAGGTGAACCACATGATGTGGAAAGGTGAGAGTCCATTCCACCCTTTGGCTTAGCACAAAGACCAAAGTCAATAAGCTTCACAACATGTTCCTTGTCTAACAACACATTCTCAGGTTTCAGGTCTCGGTGTGCATAACCTATATTGTGAAGATATGCGACAGCAGACACAATCTGTCGGAAAAAAGATCTGGATTCTCCCTCGCCCAATCTGTTTCTTTCCACTGCAAAGAAAGAGTGAACACTGTTAACAAAATGTTAATGAATGTACTATATTAAATAAGGATACTCATAGTCTAGAAAAGTAGCTTACCTATGTGGTCAAACAACTCTCCACCCGAACAGTATTCTAGCACAATAAAATAATGTGTATCGGTTTCAATCAACTGGAACAGCTTGCAAATATGTTGATGACTCAAATTCTTTAATGCTTTTGTCTCTAGTTCCACCCTGGGTAAATCATCCTGTGAAATAACAATGGAATGCATGTTGCCATCAACAAACTGATACAGAAGTTATTTAATAATTATATACATTGTATTTCTAAATATTTTCTGAAAGTGATATATTGCACTCTGTCTTGTTCCAACCATACTTACTGGGATCTACGGGTTGCATCTATATTGACCTGCCTAACCATTTCAATGCCAGTAACACATCTGAGTTGATCAGGCAGGCTCTGCTAGGTCTACCACAATTCACTGCCTATAGGATGCTTTTGTATTACAATTACATAATTTTTATGTTGTAAGGTGAGAGAACAAGATTAATAATGATCAGCATAAGGATACTTACACCCAGATGAGCCTTTTCCATGATTTTTATTGCCACCTTTTCTCCTGTCAATGTATGCATTGCCAACTTCACTTTTGCAAAACCACCACAGCCAATAGTTTTCTCAAGTTCATAAAAACCTTTAAGAACTGCATAGCGAACCATTGTGTCAGCTTACAACTAAAAAAGAAGCATATGCACTCATGCTATAAATAAGCACTCTTTCATCACTAATCAACACTTCACAAATAAAAAACACTATGGCAATAAGTATGAATATCATTCTGGAAGCTATCCAATGTTTTGGTTTTTTCTAAATACATTGTTTTGGAAACTGGATATTTTTGTTTTCATATATGAATAGTTGAGGAATGGTTCCTACTCAGTTACGCCCCCTTGAGTAAGCTAGTCTTGATTAATGCACAACAAAGTAATTCTACTTTGATAACCTCAACATCATCAACTAGAGATAAATATGCAAATGCTAATGGCAATTATTACAGAAACCAAAGGGGTTCCTTTCTTATACCTTAAGACAGCAACAGAAACAGATTCCAAAAATAATCAAGACAATGAATAATGCCCAGAATAACAATCATGTCTATTGTAACACAATATCAGAAACTCTTAGATTTAACCACATGATAAAATTCACTAACCCCACAAACCTCACTAAAGAATCCCAGAGATCCAAGGGCAATCAAAGCAAGAACGATAAGCATGCAGGGTATGAAGAAGCAGAAAATACACACAAACTTCTAGTCAAAAAATCTCAAGACAGTAATCACTAAGGTGCTTATGTGAAAAAGATAACAAACCAAATAAAAAAGCTGAAATCATATTCGTGGGAAGCAAGAGCAACCTCTGTATAGCAAGTAAGATGATAATATATTTCAGCCACACAAATGTCTCACTATTCCCACAGTATAATTCATTACATTCATGTGTTATTACATAAATTAAATGAGTTTATGCTGTCCATCTTCTGCATCTACTTCACATTAACCAAACTACAATTCAAACGTGTAAAAAAAATACATACATTGGTACTAATATTATTACTGGCAAGTACAATTTTTAAGACTATATAACCCGCTCCGTCCATTCAAAACACACATCAAAATTTTCAAACAGCAAATACTTTGTTTAACACTGTAACGAAAACTTCAAATTAAAACAGTCACGCGCCAACGGCTGACACCAATTTCAAAGACTTCAAAAAGAAATAATATCACATACGCTGATCTCAAAAGAATTCATCAAATTCTTATATACATTAGTAAAAAATATTAAACAAGTATAACATAACATTAATTAGATATTTATTTATAGCAGTTATTTATTTTAAAAGAAACATTATTGAAATGCTTTCAAACCAGAATACTGCACGATTCAAATCATAGATTTTCGTTTCATATCTTTCCATATATGTAATCCAAACAGCTTTCGCGCCATCTGGTGTTAGAATTTCATGATGAGCAGAGACTCGCAGAACTCACAGAACAAAAACGCCTACATTTAGCTGGACTTCGGGGCCGATGAAGTCATGAAAGGCATCATCTCAGAGAATCTTGTAAAATGATTTTAACTTATATGGCACAATAAATAGTTAATAATTTAACCGATGGAAGGGAGCACGAGACTGCTGGCAAATGCTTTAGGAATGAAAGGGACCTAAAGGTATTCTTCGCCAACTGTAGAGCGAAAGAACACTTAATAGAATTATAAATGTGTCCTCTTTGGAATAAACTAAAAATCTTATAATGCATAATACCAACATCATTACGGGCGTTAATGTCAACACATGTGCAGTGGGTTGGCAATCTGTTGTATCAATATCCACCAAAGAAAATAGTTATTTTTACTAGGCACCAGTGACATATCTAAATTAGAACTGGCTAGATATTGCCTATCCCAAAAAAGACCTGTAAAATAAACATTGTTCTTAAAGCTGTCCATTACATCCTACCAAAAACCAACACAGTTCAATTTTCATTCTCATAACCTACTTTCTTAAAATCCCACATACTACATGGTCTTCCAGATGGCTTCCCCACTTAGACATCACATTTCTTGTTTACTACAATCTTCTTGATGTAACTACCCTCACAATAATAACGCCACATAAGTCAGATTCTTCTATGCCATAACCTCTATGCACTGCCTTGTTCACAACTTTCTACGCAGTAAAAGAACCCTACCAGATGAATCCAATCTACACCTGCCAAAACCTATTTCTGTCAAGATTAATTTTAAACAGGTCTTGTATGTGCTCTCCTCCATTCAGCCTTTCCAACAAAAATTTTGAATTAATTTCTCATCTCTCCCACGCACACCACATGCTCTGGTCCTTGATTCAATCATCTTAATATTTCTCTCCAGCTTCCTGTCACTTCATCCCTCTTAGGTACAAATATACTCCTCCGCACCCATGTCACCATGGCACAAAACATCCTCAGGTTTCAGGAGTAGGTTTCCAGATATGGAGATTTGCTGCAATTAGGAGAGTTGATAAAGCCTCATCTTCCAGGTTAGGGGTTGCTCTGCAGGCTACCAACTCTTCACCATAAAGAAAGAAGCAGCATGTTACAATATATTTACACATTTCAAAATCATGTGAAGCAAAATTCATATTTTATGTCCATTAACGTCTGTATTATAAGCCATACCACACAACAAAGTTACTCAATTGAATATTATTATGCATTTCCTAAATACATGTCTTTTAATTTCATAGTAAACATAATTTGTTTGTCACTGTTATTCCTACATATTTAAACTCATATAATTTCCTTGTTATGACTATGTGGTACAGAAAGAAAATCATATATACAAACAAATTAATGAAAATTATTTGTATTAACATCTTCATTACACAATCTGCATGATAGGCAGAAAGTGCAACTCCCAGCAAGATAAAAAAATATACAAAAGAATGCCAGCATTTCAACACATTTCTATATATTCATAATAATAATCAGAAATATATCGGGACACAATGCCATAATTATTTTTTTCACACATAACTGAATATACTGTAGTTATACGTAATGAATTAATTTATAGCTTATAAAAACTGCTAATAGACTGCTTAAAAAATGCACTCATGACTGGTGTAAAATCCTTTCTTGATAAGTGCCAGTATTTGACAATTTCTATATAACCCATACAGCATCCATGAAGTCGAAGATTTCCGTCTCCTGGGTCGTTGCGCTGTGTAACGCTCTGAAACGTTGGTTAACATCGACCAGACTACACAGCGCAACGACCCAGGAGACAGAAATCTTCATACTCACCGCTGTGAAAACCTCAAATCCTACATCCATGATGTCCTTGATACATTAACAAATTCAATAACTCAGAATATACTATAAATATAAAATACTGTTTTTATTACACACAGTTCATCCATGCCAGAAAATAGTTACTCCACAAGAAAAAAAGTTCTCTCAGTCTAATCATCTGCAGTCAACACATGGTGTAACTGCACATCATAAATATCAACGTGTGTACCAGAAAATGTATTTACTGTGAACTCTGTAAAAGAAACTAGCATGACAGATTCTTGGCAAAAAAAAATATACAGGGCACTCTTTAGTGACAGTGGCCGAGATTCAGGAAGTGTCTGTCGTAAGTCCAAGAACTTGAAAAATACTTTGTATAAAAACAAGGCACACACCAGGACTACTGTCTCAGGGATGTTTTGCCATGTAGCCTCTTAAACACTGACTGATGTTTCAGAGGTACTTACTGCCTCCATCATCAGAGCAAAACCTCTTAAATATCAGTCATACCTATCAGACTACATGATGCAACATCCTGGAAGACAACCATCTTCATACTCATCACCTTCAGAACCTGAAATCTAAACAAAGTATATACAGGCTCTCTCTGCAATCTGTTTATTACAACGGGAACGACTTACTACTGAAATGCAGTACCATACAGACATAACATACATCTTAATAATGTGCCACAAATGGAACGAACAGCAAAACTTTATTAACTAAATTATCTGAAATGCCCTACCAGATAAACAACCAGTATTGCCATATGAATCATTCTTTTTTGGTTATTAAATTTGTTAATTCTGTGGGCATTGTGTACACCCATGCATAACCAAGTGGAAATCTGGAAATAAGGGAATTTCTTCGTACTCTTAAAGGGCCGAGATCATCCACATACAAAGCCACACTTCCACGTTAACTGTAGCCAATACTAGCAGTCCGCCTGCAAGACCGGTGCATGCCGTGTGCTCCTCCTCAATAAACCACATTCACGATGTTTCTTGAATTTCCCGCTTCTTTCGTACTTTCTCTTCTTTTGTGGTGGTGGTAACGCAGCATCCTTCTTTTTTCGCCTGTTTTTCCTTTTATTGGAGAGTTTCCTATTGGACTTCGGCTTTGTGGCTCTTGTATCACCGTCATCTTCTAAAGTACCATCATTTTCATTTCTGTCGTTGTCTGCATGACTAGTATTTGCAGCTGAAGCATCATCATTTTGAAATAAATTATCCATCACTTTTGGAACTGTATTTGACATTATGGCAGGCCACAGAAACAATGAAGCTAACCGTTCCCTCCACAAAGTTGCTGCAGCTTCAGAGGTGAGCTTTTCTGCATTAGACACTGAACTGGCACCAGAATGTGTTGTGTCAGTAACAAATGATTTAAATCTTGTACCTGCATTTATTTCGATATTCCGACGGCTTAAAAGAAAAGTCCGGAATCCTACCAAAGTGGTGTGGCTGGGAGGACACACGTAAGGTATCCTGAAAGAGATGTCAAACAGATTGAACATAGGTACATAAGGAAGAGCAGAGGAAGTGTTTGCAACCTGAGCTAAAATAGCAGCAAGTGCAATCTGGCCATCTGGAACTTCAGCCGGAGTAACAACACGTGGTAAAACATCTCTGCAAGGATTAGTACTGGCATTGCCTTGTACAAACTGCTCATTTACATCTGTATGTTCTTCCCTGTCTCTAACATAACGAAGATTAAGTTTGTCTCCTTCTTGAAGCAGATGGTCAGTTTCTATTGCGGAATCATCTTTCGGAATTTTGAGGTGTGCCTTAAAATATTTAAGCATGCTGTAAACCACTTGTCCACTAATCTGAAGTACATCTTCATTATATCGAATCTTCTGTCTTCCACCATATTGAGCATATACACACCTGAAGAAAGCATAGTATTGTTTGCTGAGTATACTCACCACTTTCTTTTGCCCCAACTTGCGTCCTGGACGCTTCCTCATTTCCGCACTAAACTTTTCTTTCAGCTTCAACAAATTGTTTTCATTCATTTCTGTACCTTCTTTCATATTCTGTAGAATAACTAGCACCCTGTTCCAGATCTTTTCTTCTCTGTTACTTTCAACGTTCAGTTGTCGTGAAGGTGCAGGAAGCACATCTGTTATATCTACAGGAACTTTCTTCAGCCATTTCTGGAGAGTGACATAGCGACGTCTGACTTGAATTCTATTCCGACTCACAAAATGTTGGCTAATTTTACTCCAGTTTCCTTCTCCATGTTCTTTAACTAAAGCCAACAAGAAGGCATCATCATCTGTTGTCCACGGATTACCACTCTTTTCACATTTCAAAAATAAACAGTACCGATCACGAACCTGTATTGAAGTGCGACCAGGGATGAACCGTGCTACACGAGCAAAATCAGTCCCATACCTTCGTACAGCAGCAACCACTAGCATATCTTCTTCTTTTGTGAAGCGTCCCCTTTTGATTGAAGGGTTTATTGAATAGGTCCAGCGATTAAACACTTGGCTTTTACTACGGCCAGTCATAAAATAAGTCACTTTAGACCATGGAATGTATGAACCAAACCGACATCTTTCCACTGTTTCCTTGAGGTAATCATCCTCTTCTTTTGTCCACTTGCTCCTCCTCAATGAATCATTGAGTCTTGTTTGATACTGAAACATGCACTGATATGCAGAACGCTGAGTGCCAAGCTCCTGTGCTATTGCATCCCAGTTTTGATTTTCATACTTAACAACAAGTTCTTTCAATTTATCATCTTCATCTTTTGTCCACTTTGATTTCCTTATCATAGGATGAAGATAATTGTGCCACATTGCACGACATTCTTCAGCACTGTGTAAACCTTCTAAATCTACTACTGATATTTTCATCCAATCATATTCTGACTTATTGAATCCTACAAGTTCTGCAAGACTCTTAGTCTCAATACAAGCTGGGTTACAATCTTTAAACTTATTTTCTAATTCTTCAGCCTTTGAAGAATTATCTTCACAATCTAGTGCCTTTAAAATAGATTGCTTTTTGGCTTCTGCTACTTTAATTTGATTAGCTATTTCCTGTGCTTTTACAGCTGTCATTAGCTTAAGTTTATCTTTATCTTTCCATTGTTTAAGTACTGGGAGATCTATTATATTCAACTCCATGTTCGCAGTTTTTCTCAAATAATCTTCATTTGGAGGGCACGGAAAATAATGACGGTCCTTGAAGTATGGAATACCAAACATGTAATACCAATTACTTCGAGTCATTAGTGACTTTTCATTTTGAATCTTGACTGAATCAATATGGTCCTGAAGGTCTTTAACTTTTGCCTTGTTTTTCTTAAGTAGTGTCACGAGCTCTTTCTCCATAATAATCAGCATATCGTAACATGCAGACCCAACAGTTCTACACATTCTCAGAGGCGAAGCACTTTCATCTGTAAGAAGGTTCTTCAAATCTAAATGCGGGTGTGACAGATCAAATGTGCTTTCATCATTACCGCTGGCTCCACTGTCAAAGGTTTCCTCATCACTAAAACTCCCATTATTTTCAAGTTCTTCCACAACGTCGTTGTTCTCATCAGAAAATGAAGGTGCAGCTAATACTTCTCTTAGACTAGCAATATCAGTATAATACACATCCTCATTTGCTTTCTCCATTTCAATAAACTGAGACTTCTATAAATGCAATGTATTTAAATTTACACTTTCAACACAATTTCTGATAATTACATATAAGACATAATTTACATACGATACTCAAAGACTTCCACATCAAACACGTGTAACAACGACTTAACAACAACCACATACTATGTTGGTACTCAAAGTGCTCCGTTAAACACGCCATACGTAATACCAACACTACATAACAGGGTACCACACACCATTAATAATACCACCACACACAACCCAAACTCGTACACGTCTGGCTTATGACATTATAGATATATAATTCTACCATCTATACGCTACTATTGTAAGAAAGATCTGTCGGTATCAACGTTAACTACAACCTGCCTTTGACACACCAAAGGAACAAATAATATTAATAATCTGAAAATGACCGTCTTCTGGGAATTGCACCATCTACATTTCTGAAATGTCAGTCAATTTGTACCAGGTTAATAGTGCGACATTCCAGAGGACAGTTGTCATAGTTACTTCTTTGATAACCTTAAATCTAAATTTTACACATTTCGCCCACAACGCACAATACATCTCCATTTTTAGAAGCTAATGCACGAGAACTGGTTAACCAGTATCACTGAATTCTCACAGGTCAGGAGAAAGATTGGTAAATTCTACTTGGGCTACCAGACGTGGCAGGTGGTTGAAAGGAGAAAACACCAGAATTTCGAGAACCATCTTCGTCCTCAGGGTACTAAAGTCTTCAGTACTCTGAGAACGAAGACTTAGATGGTTCTTGAAACACAAGTGTTTTCATCTTTTACCCACCTAACATGACTGGTAGCCCGAGAATAATTCATATAGTTGCTGTGAAAACTTCAGATCATACTGGAGAAAGTTCTTCAACAATTCCTTGATGTAATTACTTTATTGTAATACTGTATTAAATCAAATTTGTCTGTAAATAGCTGCTAAAACTACATATTTAATCTGCTGTATTGAATTTGTATTATGACATATTCTACAACCTATCTGTAAACAGCTGTTTCATGTAATCTATCGTACTGCATTTGTGCTATGACATATTCTACATTCTTGAATTGGGCCTATGAAGGATCTATGGAATTTAAATGATTCTGTTGTATTCTATGAACATTTACTACTAGTACGATAGTGGCACGTGTCTACGTTCGTAATCAAAAGCTCTGTGATGATCATTTTTGTTTATGTTGGTAACAGGGGAATTAATTCTTAAACTTTGTCACCAGAGTTCTCCTTGAGCGTACAAATGGATGGTTAGGGTAGGAGAACATATAAGAAGTAAGTTTAAAGCTAAGAATATATACCGGTATGGAGTCACACTCATCTAGTGCGTCAGATACATATGCTTCTTCGTACTCAAATCGGGATCCCGGTATGAATGTTCCAGGTAAGAATCTTGTCTTTACGGTTCATGTGGTATCGCATTTTTCTTTTTGCGAATACACGATACATATTGACATTGCATTTTAATTATTTTTTTAGTGCACTCGCAACAAAATCTGGCTCCGCTTTCTCCGTATCTGAACTTTGATCCTGTATACTTGCCTCAAAGTCAACCAGAGTTTATTTTCCCAGAAGGGGCATCACGACAAAGGGGCCGTTTCGAACTTGCCTTCTCTCAGATCGGTGTTTCGTGTATGGCTGGTGCTGCTGTTGGTGGTATAGGTGGTTTATATAATGGCCTTCGAAATACAACACTTGCTGGCCATACAGGGAAGTTGCGCCGAACACAGTAAGTTAGTGTGTTAACGTGAAATGGTTCTTGCAGTTTATTTGTGATTAGGGTTTTGATGATAAAAGAACACTGACCTATGCTTATGCAGGCATACAAAGGTCTTTCAAAAGGTATGGTAACAGTATGTCACATGAATGAGAGGTTGTGGACCCCCTTCCACCCAGTCCTCATCTTACACTAAGTGATTTTAAATCTTGATTACTGTACTTATGTTTTGCAAATAGGATGGAATGTTTTGGACTGTTGGTAAGCACTTCTAATTTGCATATGGTAGTTATGTCTTAAATCTTAGCTGAAAGACTTGCTAGCGTCTTGGCCATTTAAATAGGCTAGACTGCAACTTCTTACTATAATTTTCCAACTTAACCACTTGACAAAGACACTCTGGCGACACTTGGAAAATTCTTAAAACTTTAATTCTTTCTACACAAAATTGGTTTAAACTGGCTGCTGTCCACTGTAACAAAAGAACTATATCTATATAAAAAAATTGTCAACAAAGAGCTGGTACCGCCCATCTGAAATGTTTAAGTACAAGTAGAACAATCTGATAACTGTTCGGGATTTAAGGCCGTTTCCAAACGAGTGTAATGTTACATTTGTTTTCTCTCATTAGGCTGATAAATTCTGTAATGAAACAAGGGTCAGCAACAGCTAATACTCTTGGTGTGCTAGCAGTGATGTACAGTGGGTTTGGTGTTTTGCTGTCATGGGGAAGGGGAAGCGATGATGAACTCAACACACTCGCAGCTGCCACTGCAACAGGTGTGCTGTACAAATCTACAGGTGAGTCTATTGTTAAAAGCACACCAGGGCTGATGGTCAGTTTATGTAGCTAGTCAAGAAATCCCTTGCTTTTGTGGAACACTAAGAATTTGTCATAATATGAGTCGTCGTTTGCTTCATGGAGCATTGTTTCCTCGTGTCTTGCCTATCGTAATATGCGTAATAACTGCGTACCTATGGATATTTTGTCAACGTTGTGGAGCATGACGTAACATCAAAGTTTGAAGGTTTCTAATGATGGTGCCTTATAATGTATGAAGTTGTTCTTCTGGACTTTGGCCATCATCTAAACTATAAAGATTTCTGTCTTCTGGGTTGTTGGGTCTGGTAGATGTTTACCAACGTTTCAGAGGTCATACTGCCTCCGTCATCAGAGTATGAAGATTTCTGTCTTCTGGGTTGTTGCGCTGTGTAGTCAGGTCGATGTTTACCAACATTTCAGAGGTCATACTGATGGAGTATGACCTCTGAAACGTTGGTAAACATCTACCAGACAACACAGCGCAACAACCCAGAAGACAGAAATCTTCATACTCACTGCTGTGAAAATCTTAAATCTTACATCTAAACTATAGTCATAAAATTACGTTTTAAAATCTGTCATCTACGTTTATCATCAAGTAAAAAGGGAGAAGAGAGAAAACCTATCAGAAAACAGTATCTGATGATAAACATTTTAATTTTATGATTTAGAACATGGACAAAGTCTAGAAGAAGACGTTTACGCAATATGACATCACATGTTGTGGTTATGATAAAGGACTTATATAAAAATAAATTTCATTGTAAATGTATTGAATTGGTCTGAACTTTTGTTACCAAAATGGGAAGAAAAAAAATCTGGAAGAAAATGTGCCTTTAGGTTCTATTAAGGGAGACAATGTAGTTTCACATACATAAGTAATTTATATCAGGGGTTCAACAAGTAGGTGATGGTGTCTATGGTTATCAGTATTGAACTTTGAAGCAGCTTATGTCGTCTGTATTCTTATAGCCGGTGTGAAGAAGTGTGGGATCGGCGGAGCCGTCGGACTAGGTCTTGCTTCCATATACTGTTTATGGACAGCTCGAGACAGGCTACAAGGATTTCAGCAAGAATACAATCCAGCGTAAGGCCGCTTTAACTTTAGTTCAAATTAAATTCTACATTACATAAAGTTCTGTAGAGAATAAAATGTACCAGTATGCTTTCCATTTTCAGTTGGCTGTTTCATGTTACATCCATGTTTTACAGTTGTTTTAACTAACCATCAGATGCACAGGCAAATGGATCTGTAAAGTACTGAAAACTAATAAAAGGATCTGTGTGGGCACCCTTTATATTAGTTAATATTACTCAGATGCGTTCTGCGCGTTAACAGCTTCTGTGACGATGCAGTATGTATGATTGAATTACTTAGGAAGTATCCTTTTAAATAGACATATCTGGCTACAGATAAGGATTGGTATGATATTCTTGTAATTTTTATACACTATAGGCTCATTTGATGTACATCATTGCTGTAAGTCAAAATCGTAGAAAAATAATATTAATGAAATAAAACATGTTTTTGAAGTTGTTTGAATTTTTTAATTTATGATTCCTTCAAGCTAGAAGATCAAATACAGATTGCATAAAAATAAAATTTTAGGTAGCTGGAAAGCATGCAAATGGTAATGTACTGGGACTGCAGTCATAAATGCAAGTGTGTCGTAGTGGCAGACAGGTGTCGCTGAGACTCCAGTGCATTTATCGATTAAAAACACAGGGAACATCTCTCATGAATTGCTGCAAGTTACAGTTTCGGAAGCGCTGTTTTCAGATATTTTAATTTTTGGCTTTAAATAAATTTGTATGTCCAGGCTTTTAAATAAAATTATCAGATATCTAATTAAAATTATTATTTAAAAATTAACAATACTTATACAAGACTTTTGAAAGGTAGGTTATTCTGCTTTTTTACAAACAGATGGAAAAGATAACTGAAACCTAACCAAGCTGCTACATAACCTTCCTTGATACGAAGCACGGTGAAATTCTTCAACAAAACCAACGAACGAACGATCCTGCCAATGGCTTGAACAAAATATGTAATTACAGTAGTAGAATTTGAGATTTGTTGGAACAGTGTCTCTCATATCTGAATGAAGGAGGAAGCAGAAGAAACAAACATTGATTGTAGTATTACATTTTCATATTATAACACTAAGTTGTGATGGGTTAGTTTGCCACTGTTTGAAAGATATTCTGTGCAAACTTGAGGGTAAAGCACCTTTTTTGAAACACTGGCAAACACCACACTTGCCTGACTCAAAATGTTGAAATGCAAATCATGATATTGAATTATTTGTGTTCATACTTAAATGTAAAGTTTACTGTGACATCATGTTTAGGAATTTAAAATATTTTTCCTGTTTGTTTAGAGAATCATGTACTTTTAATTCCATTTGATCACAGTGAAGTTATGGCACAGTGCACCTGAGAATATGCATGCAATTTTAGGATCTAAATCCTGTTACCATATACTCTCATTGCAAAAAAGTAGATGCATGAGGTAAGGGAGTGTGTGCAGAAATATGTACAGAATATATAACACAAAGACTTAATTTAAGTGAATATTCTTTGTAATTTCAATGAAGTAGCATATATTTCTCGGAACACTAAGTGCTGCATGTATAGATGCTTATTTAATTTGTTAATTGTGAATATTTATAAACTTTTTTGTTGTTGTTGAAATAAATACTTACTGAAGCATAAACTTATTTCAATTCAGTATACAAAGGGGTGCATAAGTTAACTGAAATCTTTTATACGTGTATATCGGTACTTTTCATATACTTGTGCTGTTTAGATTGTTTGCTCTGTTCATATTGATTATAGTTGTGTCAACGGCGTACTCGTTCTTTAAAGTTTGCTTTTTATGTGCTGCTTCTTGAGTAGGAAATGAGGAAAGAGCACCATATATTTCACTCCTACATAAATGGTGGTTTAGAATTTTGTACAGGTAATTGCAGCTCTTGTTGATGTATGACCATGGTAAGACATTCATTCATCCCTCAATAAATTATTTTAACAACCTTACACATTAAATTTGTAGTTTAAATGCGTCATGTTTGTGCTTAATTCAGTAGTATATTTATTTATTTCCGTCAGTACACAAACTTAGTTGTTAAAATTGGTGTTATTAAAGCTAAAACTTTAAAATTTGGCGCTTATCATCGCTATTACGATGTTACAATTTTAGTCCTACATAGTCTTCACTCGACCACAGACGCAAACAAACCACAATCACAACTCTGACTACAGAACAACTGATCTAAAAAATACAAAACAAGACGAACAACAAAAAGAAACAACCTACAAAAATGAAAACTACAAAACAAACAAATCAACGATAGTTGCATTAATAAATATACATTAGTTTTAAAGACGAAAATAGCCTGAAGATGATGCGGTTGCATTGAAACATGTTGTGAAATAAAATAATGAGCGCTAAAATTGTAACATCGTAATAGCGATGATAAGCGCCAAATTTTAAAGTTTTAGCTTTAATAACACCAATTTTAACAACTAAGTTTGTGTACTGACGGAAATAAATAAATATACTACTTACACATTAAATATCACTGATTTCAAAAGAAGTAGAAGACCAACGCCTCATATAACAAGAAAATATGAAAAATGTACACAAGCCTTTGTTCAGAGTCAATGAGAAAAATTTCCAAAGCAGGATCACAACACAGTCATAAGCCTACATTTAAAACCCTTCAGATTTGTGGTGCTGCAAGTTTAAAATGAGTGTAATCCTGACAGTCTGATGGAATTTGTGAATTGTATCATTAAAAGTTTTCACCAAGATTCCAAACCTTACACCCAAAGAACTTTACAGCAATAGGTGCCATACATGTATTAAACACAATGAAAAACTTTGTAACCAGTTCTTTTCATAATCTTCATCTGTTTTCTTCTTTGATTATTCTTTCACAGTGAATAAAGAAACTGATCTCAGTTAAGTAACTTATGCACCACCTTGTATTTTACTATTGTATACACAAAAATGAAGTCATCGTAGAAGCAAGATCTATTTTCTTCAGGATGTTTATATTTTTTTTTTTCCCCCCCCCCCCCCCCCCCCATATGGTTTGTACATATTTGAACTCATTCTCATTTTATAGAATTACATGTGACATGTATATGGTAATATAATTTGGTACAGTAGTCTTACAAATTAATTATATTAATCTGAAACATTTTTCAGGAAATCACCAGTCTGCATTCTGACCTTCAAGCAGTAAAGTTCTTTTAATATCTAAGCTGCAGTGTTTATCGTACAAGTGCCTAAGGTAAAAATTTAGAAATTCCAAACATGAAGGAAATACTTGAATTGTTTGGTGCTGAAAGAGTACACTAACATACAGAAGATATTTTAGAAACCACTTTTCCATTAATCCACATTTTCATAAAAGAATGAACACATTTTTCTACATGAATCACATTTTCATATTATTTCCAATATAATTCAACCTGGAAAAATTATAGGAAGCAATATCAGGTGAATTCTGATGTTCACATAAGTCACAGTCTGATGCCAAACTTTTTTAAATGATGATCACTGTATTTATAATAAAGTGTTAATGCTTCTATTGTTTTTGTGTTTAGATACAGTAAGTTCATAAAGCATTCCAAGAACTGTTTAAATAAGTAAAGAATGCAAATGGAAAATGTAGGGAAGGATAAAAGTAATCTACTGTCTGTAGATTATGAGGCAAATGAGACAGATAGGACTCACAAGGCCAGTATACAATTACTAGACCACCGTCAAACACTGTACTCTTCCTATGCTTCTGTTTTCCCTGTGTTTTACTGAAGAGTAAAGGCATACAGTATCTGTAAAACTCTAGCAAGATTTTCAGCTCCACACAATTTCTAATGGTGGTAAGTAAGTTGGTTAAATTTATGAATGATTTTAATGAGCATGAGAAAATTATTTGCAAGTGTGTGAAAAGCACATGCTCAGAAAACATTTGGACCTAAGAAAAAAAATTATATAGATCACAGCATTGTCAGAGAATAATCAAATAAGAGGAGTTAAATTGGGCTGGAAATTTAGCTCTGGTAGGAAAGACTCAGACAGTTAAGAGTCAAAAGAGATAACAGATCTTTTTATCTTCTTTGTATTCTGGAAAAACAAATGGATCGATGTGACTCAGAATCAAATTTAACATCCTTTAGTGAGGATTATCTATACCACATTTCATCATAATCAAACAGTTCAACTCAAGAAGTGATACCATATTTGCATCTTTGTTGGTTGACACTTTGGACTGAAGTGGCTAAAAGATCTCCTTCCAATATTTCATAAAATTCTGTCTGGATGTAACTGAGATATTTCAAGAACATGAAATAAAAATAATTGCCAAGGATATTTTTATCTTCATTTGAATGTTGAAGTGCCATACGTATATGCATTTTTTAAATTTTATAAATACCTAAAAATTAAATTAACATAACACAAAAAGAAAAAACAGTACCCAAAACAAAGGCGTGAACATGAAATTACATTGATTATGTGCCACAACAACAAATCCCATATGCACCTCTGCATCCTTGTCTATCTATACACATTCATGTCTTATCTTCACTATATGTTTATTTTACAGATATCATAACCGGTTAAATAGGTGGGGTACTTTCATTGATAAGAGAAACTCCAGAGTTTCTAGGTAATGTTTTGTTAAAGTCAAAAATAAATTTGGGTGTGAAGAAAACAACTTAGCTGTATATATATAAGTGAAGTCAACAGTATCAAGATTGTTCAACTACTTGTATAAAGTAAAGGTAAACAGATTTCATAATCGAGACATATCGAGTAGTGTCATTCCTATTTAGGTGTTATCAGTCTTTCTTTTGGATACTACTTTTATTTGAATAAAATACTAGACCTTTTAATTACAAATAATTACCTAATAATTGAACTTTATGTTATTTTCATGCTTAAACTTATTTTTTTAAAACTATATCATGTACTCAACAGGACTGGACTTTGCTGGAAAACCAGACACATACATTAAACAATAAATTTTAAATTTTGTATCTTAAAGCATTGAAGCAAAATATATTTTCCATGATTTATAATGCATATGCTTATGTCCACAGCAATTGCTCATGCAAAGCAGTGGATTTCCCATTCAGTTCTTGCTGTGGCAACATAAGGATGCATCCAACACAATGTTCACTAGTTTGGCTCTGCAATGTCTTTCTTTGGCTTGCCACTGACACTGCAGTGCCACTGTAATTTGAAGTTCCACCCTTAAGACAATTTTATATATTGTTACAGGTTATGGGTTTACATGAACGTGAGAAACAACTTACCTTTCTTTATAGTGCTGGAGGATGTTTGTCATTGATAACCATAATCTGCAGTGCAGTGCCATGGAACCACTGGGAAGAAATTCTTGACAGGTGCTTGAGTGTTAACTGTGGGTGCATTCTCTTTGGCAAACAAACATTCAATTCTTTCGATGGTGGTGACATCTCAGTGTGTTATTTTATAACACTTGCTTCAGTACCAGCCTTTATCATTGCTGTCATTATGGCTGTGTATCATGGCTACAGAGTCTCTATGTTCAGCAAAGAGGCAGATAATACTACAGGAAGAAAAACACGAAGACACAGGTTCGTATTTTCATTATGAGAACAACCCTCTCAGAGAAAGTTCCTTGTCAGAGTCATCATCATGATCCGTGCGTTGAAACCTCAAAACTCCATTTCCATTTTCTTTTGTCCAGTTACTTCTATTTCTTATATTTGTTTCTACACTCCTCCAATTACTGAACATAATGTTGTAGATGCCACTGTTGCTATTCTGGATTGTAATGCTGTGTGGATTCATAGGTAGATACCAATGTTGTGGAGAAACACAGTCTCCATATTAGGGTATGTTCATATCCACCTGTAAGATAACACCTTTATAACCTAAAAGACCAATATCGACACTTTCAGCACTGTAAGAGCCTCAAATCTTATGTTGCAGAGGTCAGTATTCCTATTTTGTATTCAGGAGGCTCCATGTTCTATTCTCAGCCCAAAGTCTGGCTATGCCATGAAGTGGCAATCGGTAGGCTCCAACCCACAGTTTCTTTGCAGGGGTAGCAGTTGGTGATGGCAGGTCGTTATCTTGTGTGCATTTATCACTTACCAAACACCAATCCTTTCATGAAGAGAAGGTCTGTGAATATGTCTTGAATTTTCTGCACTCCAATAAACCATGTGTGATGGGAAAGAACACTAGTTTTGGATCAACTTCTTCATCATGTGTAGACCAAAGAAACCAATTAAATAAATCATTCTCACAACCAGATCACAATCTTTCAAAGCATAAACTATCACTGCACAATTTTGTAGTCCTTCATGCAGATTTCCTTGGTGATGTTTGAAGTCTAGCATCAAAGTCATCCAAAGTCTCTTATGTCAGCACAGTTCATTTCCTACCTGGCTTTTTGTTCAGTAATGATCCTGCTGTTTTCAGCTTACTGACCAGGTAACGTATATGTTGTCTACTTAGAACTGGTTTTCCTGAGAACTTGTACTGATATGTTTTGTGACATTTTCTGACAGACTTATATTATGTCTCACTTCAACCATGTAATACAGCACTGATGACCCTTGTATTCTGTGATTGTCCATATACACAACATAACCTCAAACAAAAAACTACATTCAGGATGTTTCCCTTGGAGAAAGTAAGTGTAGTTCATTCATTCACTTAACTTCTGATGATAATTAATTTCTATCTAAGCACTTCTCATCTACCATGCTGGGATAGCTCAGTCAGAAGACAATTGGGGTTCAATTTTTATAACAAATAGTTTCTCCTCTTCTCATCTACCATGCTGGGATAGCTCAATCAGAAGACAATTGGAGTTCAATTCTTATAACAAATAGTTTCTCCTCTTTTGCTACCATGTTCAGATGCATCCAGCCTAATATCCAACAGGTACTGAGGATTCCTTCAGGAATAAAGTGGCTGGATTGTGAAAATAACCACTCATCTGCATCTAGAATGCATAGAACTTCACTATAATGCCTCCTAATTCATCTTCGTGGCACAAGGACAACTTTATTATTTTTAATTTTACTTTGTGACCTCTTTCTTCCTTAACCTTAAACATAACTCACATATCAGCATTATCAAACTTCATGGAACAGAGTCCTTCTTAAAAAGGTAAGTCACTAAGTTACTTTAAAAATTATCCACTTTTTATGGAACCCAAAACATCATTAGTGTGCTCATAAGAGCATGCCACTGGACCCTTGCAGCATTTCAGAACTTAACATTAATTACCATTTACCATACATATATAGTTTTAGCTGATATAATGTAAAGGAAGCAATGTTTTTATACTTATATTGATGTAATTACAGTATACCATACAACAGATACGCATTATATTGAATTTACAGGAAAGGGGTCGTCATCGTAATGACAGAACGTTCAAGGAGAGTGGCTGAAGACCCTGGATGCATTTGCTGGACAGGACTGGTTATCTTGGCATGTTGCATAAGTATTTTGCTGATAATTAATGCAGGTATTCTAATTTATGGATACTACAAGACTTGTGGAGAATACAGGACAAGTCTTTCTAAAGACAGTCAAATAACTGGTCAGATGGCAGCAGCTATTAATGGACGGCTCTCATGTGGAGCTATATTTGACTTCATGGATTACTTGGAACCTGTCACAAGACCATTCCAACGAAAAGAGTATGTAAATTACAACCGCCCACATGAAGAAAAAGATTTTGAGCGAGGGCCATTCATCAACACCGGATTATCTCTACAGACAGCTGTAGGTTCTGCTTGCATTAACTGTGTTGTATGGATTACTATATTTGTAAACAATGGCATTCTTGTATATAATTCAAGAGGTTGGTGTGGCAGTAGAAGATAAACATGTTATGCATTTCAGTGTATACCTGGCCTTCCTAATAACTTCTGAATGAATTTACAGATTTTACTTAAACTTGGTATGAACATCATGTCATACCACCATTGTATGTTTTAATTTTATACTGTCAGTAAGACCATGAACCAACATAGCTCAGTCAGTAGACTGGCTACAGACTGGACGACTGGGGTTCAATTCCTGATTGAGGCAGAGGATTTTTTCCTCTAGACTGGATGTGGGGCCCACCCAGCCTCCTATCCAATGGGTACCGTGGTCCTTTCCCAGGGGTAAAGCGCGGCCATTGCGTGATGCTCACCACCCACCCCCATCTAGTGCCGAGGTCAAGAAAGAGTAGGAGCTATACCACCTCTCCCCACAAATGAATCACTGAAATGTTCAAGTACTTTGTAGGTAGAAGCATTTAAAGAAAATTATTTTTTATATGCCATGGTGTCTGATTATGTAATATTTTGTTATATTAACCATTAATAACCACAAAAATGTTGTCATGCGCTACATCAGAAGTGAGCAAACTTTCTAACTGAAGGGCTGGATTAGAGGTTAGAAGTGTTTTTCCAGGTCAGGAAGAATTCTTTACAAAACATATTTTCAGCTAATAAAGAACTTTATCTATATACCTGCACCCTACACCTGATAATAGGCCAATAAGTTATAGTCTTTACTGATCCTCTTCAATTCCTTGATGGTAGTTTTAAGTACTCTTAAAAATAACTGATGATAAAACATTGCCTCATTTTACCAGTAAATTATTATTGGATATGTACAATTAAAGCAAAGCCTTTTCTTGGCTTAAAGTATGCAAATAACTAATATCCTGAAAATCAAATACTGTACTAGCTTATATGTAAGGAAAGTTCAGGAAAATACACATTTTGAAGATATTTCATTTCAATATTTGAATTCAACACTGCTCATACAAGGCAAAATCAAATTGTAATTTTTATCTGCAAGTTTTGATCCAATTTAAAGAGAAATATGTATACTACCTAAACATAATTAACCACATATTTTAGGTGGTAAATGCAAATATTTCTTACTTGTATTCCAAATAGTTTAATAACATGATTTCTAAAAGCCCTGTCTCTAGATTATTTGCACACACATATATAAATTATCACATATATAAAAAGATGACACTTTGATTATGTAATATAACAAAATAGCAGAGAGGGAAAGCAGAACACTTAAAAGAAGAATAAGCACAGAGTGTTCCCACACAGGGAGAAAGAAAGAACAGAAATATACTGTGTAGGATTTGAGGTTTTCACGGTGGTGAGTCTGAAGTTGGCTGTCTTCTGGGTTGTTGCACCGTCTAGTCTGGTAGAAGTTTACCGACGTTTCAGAGTTCCTTGCTGCCTCCATCATCAGGGTGATCACCCTGACTACAAGACACAACAACCCAGAAGACAACCGTCTTCAGAAATATACTCCTTTCATGGTTGTTGGACCACTACACAGATGTGAAGTTCAAAATTTTTAGTGTCTATAGCTAGAGTGACACATACTCAGCTAACCCTCTATTTTTTATTATTTTTAAAACACTGAGGCCCATATATGTAATGTTGCAACGTGTGTTTTAATTAATTCAAGTAACGGTATAGCATTACATACAAACTGACGAAATCTAGACATTAAAAATACTTTTCTAGTAGATGGAATTCCATTGTTAAAGAGTCAGTATTAATTTAAATATTCAAACAACCAACCCAAAGAGCAGCACAGGTTTCTTAATTTGTCCATAATATGATACAAAAGTTTTACTTGCCATAATTTGGTAAAAGGCTGGTATTCTTTTATTGAACCTAACAGATACTAGTAGTTGCAGATTAGTATCAACTTAGGAAAATTTGTTTATGATAAATGATTTATTTGTGGCTTTTGATTTAAATGGGATATATCTACAAAGCCTTACTGTGATTAGGGATTAACAATTATTTATCCACGTAACAATGGATAAAAGAGCCTCAATGTATTAATATATTTCAAGCATGCTTTGAATATCTCTAAGCTATAGAAGGCAGGCACTAAAAACACTAAATGTAGAAACAATTCACCCAATATTTACAATATTTCAAAATCAATTTAAATTGATATGTGTACTAGATAGACTGTCGTGGCCTGACGCAAAACTGCATATAATACACAAACCTGAATGTGGAAGCACTTCCTATAATACACAAGAATATCAATAAATGTGATGAAATGAATCATAAGCAGAAGTTATTTACATGGTTAATACTGAAAGCAGTAAATACTGTTTTTTCTATCTTATTTAACACATGCAATATAATTTTGGTAAAATAAAAGCTACTTTTCATACTCTGAATAGTTAGTTGTAATTCTCCTATTGCAATAGCAATACAATATTTTTATTTCCGCATAAAAAATCATACAGAGAAAGATGTCATTCTGTCTTATTTCATTATGCCCAACACTGCAAACCAAACTGAATAAGAAAACCTTAGCCAATATCATGATCTGTAACTGTAAAACATTTAAAAGCTGATGACATCTTTATTTTTCTTCTCTTCAAAAGCTAGCTGAAACAGATATAAAATTACAGTCTTCCAGCTGCCTTACCAAGCTCCAAAGAAACATTTCCTGATGTTGCAAATATTGCTTTAAGTCAGTACCAAATGCATGACAATAATAATACATGATAATATATATAGTTTATAAATGACCATTAATCTTTTAAAGCTCTTTTTTTGATAACAGGCAGTATATAATATTTCATAACTTACAAACATCTTACAAAACTATCATTCATTTTCTGGCAGGCACTTGGTTAATGAAACAGTAGAATGGCCACCATGTTAAACTTCATTTACTTCAGGAAAGCGTTTCTATTCAACTCAAATCTACAGGAAGTTTCAACTGATGCAGAAATACATGAACATTCCAACACATAGGATTACAGTTCATTCAATTGTTTATGGCAAATTCAACATGGTAGTATGGAAACTGTCTCACACCCACAAATCAGCACACAGCAAAGATATTAACATTATTAAACAAATACTAGTTCATAAGATTTGAGGTTTTCACAGCGGCGAGTATGAATATTTCTGTCTTCTGGGCTGTTGCGCTGTGTAGTCTGGTAGATGTTTATTACATTATTAATATTCGTCGCCCCGATGACGGAGGCAGTATGACCTCTGAAACGTTGGTAACCATCGACCAGACTACACAGCGCAACAACCCAGAAGACAGAAAGCTAAATACTAGTTCTCCTACCATTAGGCTGTGTAGTCTGGTAGATGTTTATTACATTATTAATGGTCATACTGCCTCCGTCATCAGGGCGATGAAGATTTCTGTCTTCTGGGTTGCTACGCTGTGTAGTCTGGTAGATGTTTACCAACGTTTCGGAGGTCATACTGCCTCCGTCATCAGAGTATGAAGATTTCTGTCTTC